CTCGCGTACGTACGCGCAGGTACGGTGGAGAGCGAATTACGGAGGACCTCATTCAGGATTTAACGTTAGCGGATACGCTACGATAAGTGATACCGATACATAAGAGAAATTAGCCGCGCCGCGAACTAAATATCCGGCGTACTCCGTGAAACTTTGCAATTTTAATATATTTCTATTGTAAGTATATTTGACACCGCGAACGTGAGATCACGACGACAACTATTCGATTAACGTCGTACGTAGGGATAACGTCGTGCAAAACAAAACCACACTTTATACATAACGTATAAAATATACATATAAAACGTATACATATAAATATATACAGAAATTATCGCTCCGTAGAGAGGACTCGGTGCTCGAGACGAGAATCAACGTGGCGAAAAGAAAGGAAAGGATAAAAGGAACGCGCGTCGCGCGAAAGAACAACGGTTCGACGCGATTCGATTCGTTTCGTTTCGTTTGCTTTCGCGATTGAAAGCCGTTTCGTTACGGACGCGTATACCTCTCGTTTTATCGTCGATTTTTCCTCGCGCGTTACGTTTCTCGCGTGGATTAGGGAGAACTCGACCGTACGAGGAGAACGGAACGGAAGACGAGCGCCTCTGCGTATCCTGCGATCCGTACGAGTACGAATGCGTGCACGACCGACACCGGTTAAATTCGAGAGAGCGAAAGAGAAAGAGAGAGATAGTTTTCTTCTCGTACCGACCGATGTTCTTCCTTCTTTTTCTTCTTTTTTTACCGATTTCACGAAACGGACCGCGTTGCCCGTGTAATTTTACGAATTTAACGCGACACGGTATCTTCCGCCGCAGAGACGTTCACACACCTTCGTTTCGTATCGTAGTGCCACTTTAAATACCGATCGGTAACCGAACGAATAATTCAAAGCGACTAAACGAACGGATTAAATAAACGAACGAAACAAAGATGAAACACTAACCAGAATAATGAATAAATAATAAATCCTGATACTATTACTAATAACGATAACGAAAGAAAAAAGGAAAAAAAAATGAAAAATAAAAAGGAATAAAAAGGATTGTTATAAGTTGTAACTGTTGTTTTTGGTACGCGCAGATACGCACCTCATCGACGATAAGTATGGCCTCCGATGTTCGTTCGCGTAGCCTTTTTCCCAAAATCCTGTAACGCGACACGAGACGCGTTCTGGTCTCCTCTTTGTCCGATCAAAGAACGCGAAACGGCGAACAACGGATCGAAATCGTTTCTCGAGCCGTCGATGTTTCGACTCGCGACCGCTCCTCGAGACAAAGAGAGTACCGAGACACAGAATCAGTAACCTCGCATTACGATTACCTCTGTGTATCCGCGTGGCCGCGCTACGGAGGAAACTAACCGGAGACAAATAGAGAAAGAGAAAGAATGTGTAAGTAAGCGTGAAAGAGCGAGAGGGAGAGTCGGCGTCTCTTGTTGCGTAGCGTGTTTAAATCTCGTCGATCATTGCACCGATCGGTCGATCGATGCGAAAGATTCGCGCGTGACGGGCTGGGAAAAAACGAAAGGGCGGGGGTGGGATTAGGAAAATAGCGAAGAACGAGTCTTCCGTCGCGCGATCAGTGCCGAGTTTGCGCGTATCGGGCCGCGCGAACGCCGAATACGCGACAGATACGATGCGTAAAGGGCAAAGGGGGAATTAATCACGATCCGCGATCCTACCGTGCACTGTCGAAACGAAACATAAAACGATGTAGCGCGTGTTAAGGTTTTTTAAGCATTACGAACGATGTACTGACTTTTTTAACGACGTTTTATCACGTTACGGAGTACTACATATAAATATATACATACGTACCGAAGAAATATAAACAATTATATAAATACAAACATAAATAAATATATATATATATACACACACACACACACATACGTAAACGCGAGCGCGCGCACGCGCGCGTACACACACACACACGCGGAACACGCGTACACCGCAAAACGTATTAATGATAAACACAAGTGTCAGCGAGCGAGTGTCCAAATCAGTTTGACGAATGATGCGCCAACGAGCAAGAATGTAAATAATAAAGAATCATATACATGCATACAGGAGAGATATGTTCACGAAGAAAACCCACGTTCAACAGGACAGGGAGAACGTTTCGCACTGATCCCTGTTCGTTCCCATACGCGTTCCAGAGATTTGCAACGTCGGCGATATCGGTACGAAATCTCGACGACTACGATCGCGATTGCTTCTCGAAATAAAACCGCTAAAGCTATTCCGGGCTAGGAATAAGCTGTATTTACCGTGTGTAAGAAAGAAGAACGCTATGTAGGCCTTTTCGTTCTCGCTTCCGACGATTCTATAGCGCGATCGTAAATTTCCGCGAACGCATTTTCTCCAACAATTTTCAAACGTTTCATCGAATGGAACGTAATCGAAGAAACGCGGTCAGTGGTTTCATCGGACTGAAACGTTTTTCTTTTTTTTTTTTCTTTTTAATACGGAACGCGAGTCTCAAAGGAAGATTGATATTTGGTTCGTATTGTCCGTTCTTATCTTCCCGAGAGCAATTTTCCCGCGTCTTTAATCACGTTGGACGAAGAACAGATTAAGAAAACGACTCGTGGCTCTTAACTCTGCGGCAGCTACGCGCGGTTACGATGCGCTAAAAGTTGTTATTAGAAAGCTGACAAACTCGACCATCTTTTCCGTCCGCCGTCGAGCAAGTCGCGAGAAGGATATTTTTATCCGGTCTCCTTAGCGGCCGTAAATACGGAAAGCAAAAGGTATAATCTCGCAACAGGCGGGGTATTGATCCAAGCTGTTCCGCGACAACGTTCTTCCTGTTTCATCGAGCTCGTCGTTCGGTTCGCCTTCGCGTCGCGTCCATCGCGTTTCACGCGTTTTTCGAGGATGACTCGACCGAGGTTCGGGGACCTTGCAAGGATAAGGGGCTCGAGCCGGGTGAAAAGGGACGGCATCCGACACGAAAGGATTGCCGGACATTCTAGGAGACGGCGTCGAGACGGGGCAATTTTTCTTCGGATAAATGGTTGTTCCGCGGCAGGGTCGCGACACGCCGGGAACGCGGTGCGCAGCCTCGAATCGGCGAAATGTATTTTAATTACGGAACGATTCGGTGGAGTAGGTTCGCGATGCGAGCGAATTTGTGACGTCAGCGATGCGCGCGGTAAGCATCGATCGTTCGATACGGCTTTCGTGGAAAATCCTCCGTTTTCGCTCGTTCTCGGAAAGGCGAAGAGCAGTTTCGTCGAGAA